CAGCACGAGAACGACGAGCAGCACGAGAACGACGAGCAGCACGAGAACGACGAGCAGCACGAGAACGACGAGCAGCACGAGAACGACGAGCAGCACGAGAACGACGAGCAGCACGAGAACGACGAGCAGCACGAGAACGACGAGCAGCACGAGAACGACGAGCAGCACGAGAACGACGAGCAGCACGAGAACGACGAGCAGCACGAGAACGACGAGCAGCACGAGAACGACGAGCAGCACGAGAACGACGAGCAGCACGAGAACGACGAGCAGCACGAGACCGACGAACAGCACGAGACCGACGGACAGCACGAGAACGACGGCAGCACGAGAACGACGAGCAGCACGAGAACGACGGGCAGCACGAGAACGACGGGCAGCACTGAGAACGACGAGCAGCACGAGAACGACGAGCAGCACGAGAACGACGAGCAGCACGAGAACAACGAGCAGCACGAGAACAACGAGCAGCACGAGAACGACGAGCAGCACGAGAACGACGAGCAGCACGAGAACGACGAGCAGGACGAGAACGACGAGCAGCACGAGAACGACGAGCAGCACGAGAACGACGAGCAGCACGAGAACGACGAGCAGCACGAGAACGACGAGCAGCACGAGACCGACGAGCAGGACGAGACCGACGAGCAGGACGAGACCGACGAGCAGGACGAGAATGACGAGCAGCACGAGAACGACGAGCAGGACGAGAACGACGAGCAGGACGAGAACGACGAGCAGGACGAGAACGACGAGCAGGACGAGAACGACGAGCAGGACGAGAACGACGAGCAGGACGAGAACGACGAGCAGCACGAGAACGACGAGCAGGACGAGAACGACGAGCAGGACGAGAACGACGAGCAGCACGAGAACGACGAGCAGCACGAGAACGACGAGCAGCACGAGAACGACGAGCAGCACGAGAACGACGAGCAGCACGAGAACGACGAGCAGCACGAGAACGACGAGCAGCACGAGAACGACGAGCAGCACGAGAACACCGAGCAGCACGAGAACAACGAGCAGCACGAGAACAACGAGCAGCACGAGAACAACGAGCAGCACGAGAACAACGAGCAGCACGAGAACGACGAGCAGCACGAGAACAACGAGCAGCACGAGAACAACGAGCAGCACGAGAACGACGAGCAGCACGAGAACGACGAGCAGCACGAGAACGACGAGCAGCACGAGAACGACGAGCAGCACGAGAACGACGAGCAGCACGAGAACGACGAGCAGCACGAGAACGACGAGCAGCACGAGAACAACGAGCAGCACGAGAACGACGAGCAGCACGAGAACGACGAGCAGCACGAGAGCGACGAGCAGCACGAGAGCGACGAGCAGGACGAGAGCAACGAGCAGCACGAGAACAACGAGCAGCACGAGAACAACGAGCAGCACGAGAACAAAGAGCAGCACGAGAACAACGAGCAGCACGAGAACAACGAGCAGCACGAGAACAACGAGCACCACGAGAACAACGAGCAGCACGAGAACAACGAGCAGCACGAGAACGACGAGCACCACGAGAACGACGAGCACCACGAGAACGACGAGCAGCACGAGAACAACGAGCAGCACGAGAACAACGAGCACCACAAGAACAACGAGCAGCACGAGAACGACGAGCAGGACGAGAACGACGAGCAGGACGAGAAAGACGAGCAGCACGAGAACGACGAGCAGCACGAGAACGACGAGCAGCACGAGAACAACGAGCAGCACGAGAACAACGAGCAGCACGAGAACAACGAGCAGCACGAGAACAACGAGCAGCACGAGAACAACGAGCAGCACGAGAACGACGAGCAGCACGAGAACGACGAGCAGCACGAGAACGACGAGCGGCACGAGAACGACGAGCAGGACGAGAACAACGAGCATGACGAGAACGACGAGCATGACGAGAACGACGAGGAGGACGAGAACGACGAGCAGGACGAGAACGACGAGCAGGACGAGAACGACGAGCAGGTCGAGAACGACGAGCAGCACGAGAACGACGAGCAGCACGAGAACGACGAGCAGCACGAGAACGACGAGCAGCACGAGAACAACGAGCAGCACGAGAACAACGAGCAGCACGAGAACAACGAGCAGCACGAGAACGACGAGCAGCACGAGAACGACGAGCAGCACGAGAACGACGAGCAGCACGAGAACGACGAGCAGCACGAGAACGACGAGCAGCACTGAGAACGACGAGCAGCACGAGAACGACGAGCAGCACGCGAACGACGAGCAGCACGAGAACGACGAGCAGCACGAGAACGACGAGCAGCACGAGAACGACGAGCAGCACGAGAACGACGAGCAGCACGAGAACGACGAGCAGCACGAGAACGACGAGCAGCACGAGAACGAGGAGCAGCACGAGAACGACGAGCAGCACGAGAACAACGAGCAGCACGAGAACGACGAGCAGCACGAGAACGACGAGCAGCACGAGAACGACGAACAGCACGAGAACGACGAGCAGCACGAGAACGACGGGCAGCACGAGAACGACGAGCAGCACGAGAACGACGGGCAGCACGAGAACGACGGGCAGCACGAGAACGACGAGCAGCACGAGAACGACGAGCAGCACGAGAACGATGAGCAGGACGAGAACGACGAGCAGCACGAGAGCGACGAGCAGCACGAGAACGACGAGCAGCACGAGAACGACGAGCAGCACGAGAACGACGAGCAGCACGAGAACAACGAGCAGCACGAGAACAACGAGCAGCACGAGAACAACGAGCAGCACGAGAACAACGAGCAGCACGAGAACGACGAGCAGCACGAGAACGACGAGCAGGACGAGAACGACGAGCAGCACGAGAACGACGAGCAGCACGAGAACGACGAGCAGCACGAGAACGACGAGCAGGACGAGAACGACGAGCAGCACGAGAACAACGAGCAGGACGAGACCGACGAGCAGGACGAGACCGACGAGCAGGACGAGAACGACGAGCAGCACGAGAACGACGAGCAGGACGAGAACGACGAGCAGGACGAGAACGACGAGCAGGACGAGAACGACGAGCAGGACGAGAACGGCGAGCAGGACGAGAACGACGAGCAGCACGAGAACGACGAGCAGCACGAGAACGACGAGCAGCACGAGAACGACGAGTAGCACGAGAACGACGAGCAGCACGAGAACGACGAGCAGCACGAGAACGACGAGCAGCACGAGAACGACGAGCAGCACGAGAACGACGAGCAGCACGAGAACGACGAGCAGCACGAGAACGACGAGCAGCACGAGAACGACGAGCAGCACGAGAACGAGGAGCAGCAGCACGAGAACGACGAGCAGCACGAGAACGACGAGCAGCACGAGAACGACGAGCAGCACGAGAACGACGAGCAGCACGAGAACGACGAACAGCACGAGAACGACGAGCAGCACGAGAACGACGGGCAGCACGAGAACGACGAGCAGCACGAGAACGACGGGCAGCACGAGAACGACGGGCAGCACGAGAACGACGAGCAGCACGAGAACGACGAGCAGCACGAGAACGACGAGCAGGACGAGAACGACGAGCAGCACGAGAGCGACGAGCAGCACGAGAACGACGAGCAGCACGAGAACGACGAGCAGCACGAGAACGACGAGCAGCACGAGAACAACGAGCAGCACGAGAACAACGAGCAGCACGAGAACAACGAGCAGCACGAGAACAACGAGCAGCACGAGAACGACGAGCAGCACGAGAACGACGAGCAGGACGAGAACGACGAGCAGCACGAGAACGACGAGCAGCACGAGAACGACGAGCAGCACGAGAACGACGAGCAGGACGAGAACGACGAGCAGCACGAGAACAACGAGCAGGACGAGACCGACGAGCAGGACGAGACCGACGAGCAGGACGAGAACGACGAGCAGCACGAGAACGACGAGCAGGACGAGAACGACGAGCAGGACGAGAACGACGAGCAGGACGAGAACGACGAGCAGCACGAGAACGACGAGCAGGACGAGAACGACGAGCAGCACGAGAACGACGAGCAGCACGAGAACGACGAGCAGCACGAGAACGACGAGCAGCACGAGAACGACGAGCAGGACGAGAACGACGAGCAGGACGAGAACGACGAGCAGCACGAGAACGACGAGCAGCACGAGAACGACGAGCAGCACGAGAACGACGAGCAGCACGAGAACGACGAGCAGCACGAGAACGACGAGCAGCACGAGAACGACGAGCAGCACGAGAACAACGAGCACCCCGAGAACAATGAGCAGCACGAGAACAACGAGCAGCACGAGAACAACGAGCAGCACAAGAACAACGAGCACCACGAGAACAACGAGCAGCACGAGAACGACGAGCACCACAAGAACAACGAGCACCCCGAGAACGACGAGCACCCCGAGAACAACGAGCAGCACGAGAACAACGAGCAGCACGAGAACATCGAGCAGCACGAGAACAACGAGCACCACGAGAACAATGAGCAGCACGAGAACGAATAGCACCACAAGAACAACGAGCAGCACGAGAACGACGAGCACCACGAGAACAACGAGCAGCACGAGAACAACGAGCAGCACGAGAACAACAAGCACGCCCCCTTGTGTCAACTCAACAGTCACCCCCCCCCTTCATACTCGCATGCCTCACCTCGCGCTTCCCTCACCTCCCTGCCACCGCTCTTCCCTCACCTCCCTGCCACCGCTCTTCCCTCACCTCCCTGCCACCGCTCTTCCCTCACCTCCCTGCCACCGCTCTTCCCTCACCTCCCTGCCACCGCTCTTCCCTCACCTCCCTGCCACCGCTCTTGCCCCACCTCCCTGCCACCGCTCTTCCCTCACCTCCCTGCCACCGCTCTTGCCTCACCTCCCTGCCACCGCTCTTCCCTCACCTCCCTGCCACCGCTCTTCCCTCACCTCCCTGCCACCGCTCTTGCCTCACCTCCCTGCCACCGCTCTTGCCTCACCTCCCTGCCACCGCTCTTGCCTCACCTCCCTGCCACCGCTCTTGCCTCACCTCGCGCGCAGTGCCGGCATCCAGCAGGTCGGTGTCGGCGCGCAGGTCCAGCACCACGAGCACCTCGCCATCGCCCGCCGCGTCCATGTCCCCCGCCACACTGCCCTCGGGCGCCTTGAAGTCGCGCACCACCTGGTAGCCACACGATGGCAGGCGTGTGGGCAATGGACGGCGGAGTGGAAGGTGTGGAGTGTGTGACAGGGGGGTGGAGAGAGGTGGTGAAGGTTTGGAGGAGAATGAGAGATGAGAAGAGGTTGGTAAAGGAGAAGGGGAAGGAAAAACGATGAAAGCAAGAGAGTGAAAACTACGCCTAGGAGGGATCTTCACCACCCACTCTCCTCCAACACCCTCCACATCCAACTTTCTCTCTAATCCACACCAACGACTCACCCCCCATCTTCCACTCAACCCCCTTCTTTGCTTGCTCTACGTCCTACCGTCACACCCAGAAACCGCCTCCCACGACCCTTGTCTCTGCCCCCCGTGCCCCTCATCTCCGTCCCCCCCTGCCCCTAATCTCCACCCCCCTGTGCGCACCTTGATGTCGGAGGCGGAGAGCGTGTGGCCGGCGACGGTGACCTCCCCCGCCAGCTGCATGGCAGCGATGGCCGCCGCGTCCATCTCCTTCACCGCCTTCGCCACCGCACCCATCGCCCTCCCCACGCGCCTCCCCAACACACTGCCATGCCACGTGCCCGTGGTGGGTGGTGGGTGGATAAGATGTTAGAAAAGGTAAGTGGTTGGGATGTGAGAGGAGGGAGGAGGGAGCAGATGCAGCGAGGGAGGAGGAGTACGGAGCGAATGGTGGGCTGCTTCGGCGCATGCACCGCGAGCAGACTGTGCAGGCACAGTGCAGCCTTGCCTTGCCGTGCTGCCATCTCATGTGGGAGGCAAGGCAAGGCACTCGGTTGTGTGTCTGGCAGCACGCACAGCTCTATTGTAGTACCCCACAACCCACTGGTGACAGTCTCCATGCACCCACCACACCACACCACACGACACCGCACGACACCATGCGAAGCACAGCTGTTGCAAGCAATGCCGTTCATGCTGCTCTACAGTGCATCCACGTACACCAGTTGCTCGCTTCGACCACAGCTGCTGCAGCCAGGTACGGCATTTGTCTGCCTATTCGTGTGGTTCGGACCATACCTGAAGTCAGGTTCGGCGCGCACAGAGGTGTACTTGCTGGTGTCAGCGCAGGGCAGCACGGAGCGCACGTTCAGCTCCTCCCGCACGTACTACCGGGGCGAGGGGAGGGGGGGGAGGAGGGGAGGAGTGGGGGTGAGGAGGGAGGGGAGGAGGGGGTGGGGGGAGAAAGGAATGCTTTGTCGACTGGCACTCTAAGCGCGGCTTTTCTTGTCAAGGATGAGTTGGTTTGCTGGGGAGAGGGCCCGGTGACGGGATGAGTTGGTTTGCTGGGGAGAGGGCCCGGTGACGGGAAAGGTGAAAGTGGAGAGGGAAAGGAGACAGTGTGAATGAGGGTGAATCAAGTAACAATGTTCTTTGCGAATTCGATACAGCTTAGCGTATGTGCTGCACACAATTCCATGAACACGCAGCTTTCCCTGCCTCGCGTCACATATCTCGCCCCTCCTCACCTCACACAGCTTGCCCGTGATGTCTTCAAGGAACTGGGCGTCCGGGTGCACCACCACCATCTCCCTGCCCGCCCACACGGCACACACGCACGCACGACACGACAGGGAGGAGTTCAGCAATGCGGCAGGGCATAATGCAGTGCACGTCCAAGGCCAGGAAAAAAAGTACTTGGTGGGACGAGGTGAAGGAAAAACAGAGTTGGCATCCCACTAATAGGTTTAGCCAAGCAGTTGCTGGGCTTGGGCCTAACGGAAGGTGGTTAAATAGGTGCCGCCACTAATGCCAGTAAATATGCCTGAGTGCCACACTGGCCCAACAGCCATTTCACAAGACCGGCATTTCATTGCTGTTGCTCACCTGAGGGGCGTCTTGAGCGGGCGGTTGTTCCGCTCGCGGATGTTCCGAGCGAGGTCGATGACCTTCATCATCCTCTCCACACTGCGCTCCGTGCGCTCGTCCACCTGCCATGCACGAGAGCGAGGGGATGGGGGTGGGGGAAGGAGGGAGGAGAGGGAAAAGGGGAAAGCGAGCAGAGACACGAGAATGGGGATCGAATCAGCAGCAGTCAATCTTGTTAGAAGAGAGAATTGATACATTGAATAATGAGCCAGGAGGCCCTTTACTACAAACAATGAGCAAGAGAGAGATGTGAAGGAAGCTTACCCTATTGGCCAATAAGTTGGCCAATGGGTGAGCTTGATTGTGGCCCAAGCAACCACAAATGTGTGTTAGTTGGGATTGGTTGAGCTAAGGACCAATCCCCACCAACCACAAAATGTGGTTGGAGGGTACACTAAGGGCGTATCCATGTTGGGGTCATAAAGCCACTTCCGGGCATGCACGATTTGCGGATGCCCCAAACAACATAAAACACCACTTGGGGTCCTCGGACTCCATGCGACCCCCAAACTGGCGGGAGGGTTTTCGCGCCAAAATCTCCCTCCCCACAACAGTCTCATCCAATGGAGGGATGCCAGAACAGTTCGCAAGGTCACGAGCCACACCCACGCAAAACCACGCGACACCCATCGGAAAAACACATTCGTCAAAATTCCCGGCGTGAATCCCCAAATGTTGGGAGCGCAACGCAGGAAATTATAGACACATCGAGGGTCACTGGGGTCAATTTGCCGAGTGGTTGGGTGCAGAGGTGTAGAATGTGGGACATTGCCCACTTGTGACACCTGACTGCCGCATAAAAGATGGCCGTAAAACCAGAATCGTGCAACCAGGTGATTGGTTGGGGATGAGTCGTGCACGTCAGTCGCCCAACACCTGCACATTGACCCAAAGCTGGGGCCGCGCACGGCTCGGCAGCCCACTTCGGGTCTTGCGCAATTTACGCATGACCCAAACAGTAGCATGAACAGTGCTCATGACCCGAACATGGATATGCCCTAAACAACCCCCCCAATTTATAAGAGTGCTACACATTTAATTCAAGCCTATGTATGTTTTATAAAATATGAAATTACAACAAATCTGCTGTGCTGCACGCATGCAGGGAGAAGTGAGGGAGAGAGGAAGGTGCAGTAATAGGTGGGAGACGGCAAGCAAGGATGAGGCCATCTTTGAAGCGAGGGTGTTGTGTTGCTATGTTGGAAAAGTCGCCAAAAACCATAAGCGCACTCCGAATAGTCGTTTACGAATATACGGTGTACGCAAGTCGTACGTATATTCGTTGGCGAAAGTTCGGGCTGACCCGAAAAAAAACCAGATTTCAAAAGTCGCGCACGAATTGCGAATGTGCGACGCGACTCAAAATGTGCGCACGTCCCACCCCAATTTGTACGCACGTCCCAATCCAACCACATTGTCACCCACACCTGTCAAAATGTGGGGACGTGGGAAAATTTGAACCGCACTGCACCCTATGCTATCGCGCGACTCCAACACACAAACACGAATGTCGTCAACCAGCGTAGGTGGTTCAACTCAACCACATCCTGGACTATAAGGTAAGCTCTCATTCCCGTCATCTGTATTATCTCTCTCCTCGTTCATTCTCTCTTAACACTCCCGCTCACCTGCACTTGATGTCGACTCCTTCTGGTACTCCCGCAAGTGCCACTAGTGAGGCTCCTAGTGTTTCGAATGACGCGACCATGGCGGACGACGAGGATGTTCCTGTGAACACCCATGTTATTTTTAAGCATTTCCTTACCTCTACCGAAGGTACCTCGAATGGTCCTGAGCGTACTCTCCGCATATGCCGGCACTGCAAGCTTAAGTTCGTAGGGGGCGCCTTCCGTTGCGCGCAACACATCACGCGCTGGAAAGGGCTGAAACGGAAGGACGTCCGTCTTTGCAAGGCGCCTATCCCTTCTGCTGACCGCGGCGCCGTCCGCGAATTGTACGAAGGCAAACACGCCCGCAGGGAAGGGAAGAAGAAGGCGGAGGAGATGGCGATCGAGGCGTGTGCGGGTGGAGCAAAGAAGCAGTGCATCGAAGACTTCTACGGGGAAGGGGCGTCGTGTGCGAAGGAATCGGCAGACGATGCCATCTGCCTCATGTGGGCGGCACTTCACCTCCCGGAGCATCTCGCCGATCACCCTCTCTGGTGCAACGCTGTGCGCTGCATCACGGACGCGGGCCATGGCTACGTTCCCCCGAAGCGGCGGTATGTTGGTGGCGCCGGCCTTGCGCGCTGCCGCGAAAAGATCGAGAGGGGGCTCGCTCCCATCACTGCGAGCTGGAAGCGGGATGGCGTGACGATAGGCTCGGACATGATGACGGACAAAAGTGGCCGTCCCCAAGCCAACATCCTGCTCATCAACGATTCCGGTGCAGTGTTCACCGAAAGCATCGACTGTAAGTTGGAGATGAAGACGGGAGGTTACATTGCATCCGTTTTGCGCCCGATCATTGAGAAGGTGGGGCCCGCCAACATAGTTGCGTTATGCATGGATGGGGGCAGCAATTATGCGGCTGCATGTAGGGAACTCATGCTTGAGTATCCTCACATTGAGCATGTGCCGTGCGCTACTCACGTCATGGATCTGCTCATGGAGGACATTGGGAAAATGGATTGGGCGAAGGACATTGTGGCTAAGGCGGGGGTGATTATTACCTTTGTGCGTGCACACCATTTCACCAAAGGTTACATGCGAAGCCCGCAGGTCAAGGGAGGGAAGGGGAAGCAGGTGCTGAAGCCGGCGGGCACCAGATTTGGCACGCAATTCATCGCGGTGCAGCGGCTTTGCGAGGTGCGGAGTGCATTGACGCAGATGGTGCTGAGCCCGGAGTGGCAGGCTTGGGCGAAGGGGAGGAAGCCGCCGGTCGAGCCCTTCGCAACCATGATCATGGATGCCGTGTGGTGGAAAGGGGCGGAGTTCTTCGTCGCCCTCCTGAAGATCCCCTTTGCCGTCATGCGCAAGACTGACTCGACGGCCAAGGGCATGATGGGCAGGATGTACGATCTGATTCTGCAGCTCACGGAAGACATCAATGCGAAGCTAGAGGAGGAGGAGGCGGGATTGGTGCTGTCCAGCAGCGAACGCACGGAGGTGACCAACATCGTCCAAAAGCGCTGGGACCATAGCATGGCGTGTGCCATGCACGTGGTTGGCCGGATCCTCAACCCGGTCAACCAAGAGGAAGGCATCTTCCGCACCGACCTGGAGTGTACTCGCATCTTCAAAGCGTTTGTCGCTCGTCACTACGCAGGGCGGACCGTCACGCGCAAGGAGGGCGAGGAGCTGCGCGCATCCCACGTCATCCAGGACGGCCTGACGGCATTCAACACCCTTCAGGGGAGCTTTGGCCTACCCGACGCCATCTCTGACCGTGAGCTCGTGAAGGCCGGTAAGAAGACGGCTGTCCAGTGGTGGACGTGGCACGGGACGGAGCACCCCGAGCTAACAACGCTCGCTTGCCGCGTTCTCTCTCAGCCAGTGTCCGCATCGGCGTGTGAGAGGAACTGGGCAGTGTGGGAATCGATCCACACTGCCAAGCGCAACAGGTTGGGGTCCGAGAAGTGTCGGGACCTCGTGTATGTTGCGCACAATTGGAACATTGTGCGCAACTGGCACAAGGGGGCTGAGGGGGTGACGGTTCTCCCGGGGAACATCCCTGAGGCCTCCCTGCCGGAAGGGTACAACGAGGTTCTGGAGGAGGATGAGGAGGAGGGGGAGGAGGATGAGCTGGAGGATGAGTACAAGTAGAGGAGGAAGGAAGGGACGGGGGGAGTAGAGGGTGGGAGTAGGGGGTGGGGTAGGAGAGATGCATGTTGCTTGCTTAGAGTAGTTGAGAATGTAAGGTTTTTGACATATATGAAATTCGGTAAAACCACCACTCCCCCCCCCCTCCTTCGGCGGTTTTTTTCGTCTGCCCGGTAAAAACCTTTTGCTGCCCGGGCAGCGTACTTTCTGCGACTTTCAAAGTCACTCACGAAGCGCATAACGCACTATACGCAAGCGTATATACGCTTGCGTATAATGCGCTGGGCGCGACTTTTCCAACTTAGTTGTGTTGCACTGGAAGACTTAATGAGTGCCTTGTGTGGAACAGTGGAAGCACATGAGCTGCTGCAGAGTCGTCCTGCAGCTGCTGCTTATCCAACATGACCTAGCATGCTTATGACCGATAGCTCACATGCTTATCACCAATAGCTCACATGCTTATCACTAATCGCTCACATGCTTACCACTAATCGCTCACATGCTTATCACCATCCGCCCTAACCCCGCAAGCTCATCACGCGGCTCACGTGCTGGTCGGAGGAGGGGAAGCAGCAGAAGTGCACCGACTCCTCCGCCCACTCCACATGCTCCTCGTCCTCCGCCACCCCCCCCAGCCCTGCAGCCTTCCCCGCCTCGCCGTCCGCAGCGGGGGGTCGTGGCGGCAAGGCGTTGCGGAGGTTCTGGTACATGGCCTCGGTGAAGAATGGCGTGAAGGGCGCCATGGCCTTGCACACCCTCAGCAGCACCTGCAATTGGGGATGTGGGGTGGGGGGTGTGGAGAGGGGGAGGACAGCGGTCAAAACAACAAGGGCGCAAGTTGAGGGAGGCATCAAGGAGTATAAAGGGGAAGGATGTGGTGCTACGAAAAGTTTTCACGTGGAATAGAGGGCGTTCGGTGCATTCATGTGCGTCAAGTGAGGTAACCATACCCGGGAGGTAATGGCATCAACAACAAGACATGGAAGAGCGACTGACATGGAAGAGCGAGGAGAGGGACTGACATGGAAGAGCGAGGGAGAGGGAGTGACATGGAAGAGCGAGGAGAGGGAGTGACATGGAAGAGCGAGGAGAGGGACTGACATGGAAGAGGGAGGAGAGGGAGTGACATGGAAGAGCGAGGAGAGGGACTGACATGGAAGAGCGAGGAGAGGGACTGACATGGAAGAGCGAGGAGAGGGACTGACATGGAAGAGCGAGGAGAGGGAGTGACATGGAAGAGTGAGGAGAGGGACTGACATGGAAGAGGGAGGAAAGGGACTGACATGGAAGAGCGAGGAGAGGGAGTGACATGGAAGAGCGAGGAGAGGGACTGACATGGAAGAGCGAGGGAGAGGGAGTGACATGGAAGAGCGAGGAGAGGGAGTGACATGGAAGAGCGAGGAGAGGGACTGACATGGAAGAGCGAGGAGAGGGACTGACATGGAAGAGCGAGGAGAGGGAGTGACATGGAAGAGTGAGGAGAGGGACTGACATGGAAGAGGGAGGAAAGGGACTGACATGGAAGAGCGAGGAGAGGGAGTGACATGGAAGAGCGAGGAGAGGGACTGACATGGAAGAGCGAGGAGAGGGACTGACATGGAAGAGGGAGGAGAGGGACTGACATGGAAGAGCGAGGAGAGGGAGTGACATGGAAGAGCGAGGAGAGGGACTGACATGGAAGAGCGAGGAGAGGGACTGACATGGAAGAGCGAGGAGAGGGACTGACATGGAAGAGCGAGGAGAGGGACTGACATGGAAGAGCGAGGAGAGGGACTGACATGGAAGAGCGAGGAGAGGGACTGACATGGAAGAGGGAGGAGAGGGAGTGACATGGAAGAGCGAGGAGAGGGACTGACATGGAAGAGCGAGGAGAGGGACTGACATGGAAGAGCGAGGAGAGGGACTGACATGGAAGAGAGAGGAGAGGGACTGACATGGAAGAGCGAGGAGAGGGAGTGACATGGAAGAGCGAGGAGAGGGACTGACATGGAAGAGCGAGGAGAGGGACTGACATGGAAGAGGGAGGAGAGGGAGTGACATGGAAGAGAGAGGAGAGGGACTGACATGGAAGAGAGAGGAGAGGGACTGACATGGAAGAGCGAGGAGAGGGACTGACATGGAAGAGCGAGGAGAGGGAGTGACATGGAAGAGCGAGGAGAGGGACTGACATGGAAGAGCGAGGAGAGGGACTGACATGGAAGAGCGAGGAGAGGGACTGACATGGAAGAGCGAGGAGAGGGACTGACATGGAAGAGCGAGGAGAGGGACTGACATGGAAGAGGGAGGAGAGGGAGGGACATGGAAGAGCGAGGAGAGGGACTGACATGGAAGAGCGAGGAGAGGGAGTGACATGGAAGAGCGAGGAGAGGGACTGACATGGAAGAGCGAGGAGAGGGACTGACATGGAAGAGCGAGGAGAGGGAGTGACATGGAAGAGCGAGGAGAGGGAGTGACATGGAAGAGCGAGGAGAGGGACTGACATGGAAGAGCGAGGAGAGGGACTGACATGGAAGAGCGAGGAGAGGGACTGACATGGAAGAGCGAGGAGAGGGACTGACATGGAAGAGCGAGGAGAGGGACTGACATGGAAGAGAGAGGAGAGGGACTGACATGGAAGAGCGAGGAGAGGGACTGACATGGAAGAGCGAGGAGAGGGAGTGACATGGAAGAGCGAGGAGAGGGAGTGACATGGAAGAGCGAGGAGAGGGACTGACATGGAAGAGCGAGGAGAGGGACTGACATGGAAGAGCGAGGAGAGGGAGTGACATGGAAGAGCGAGGAGAGGGACTGACATGGAAGAGCGAGGAGAGGGAGTGACATGGAAGAGCGAGGAAAGGGACTGACATGGAAGAGCGAGGAGAGGGACTGACATGGAAGAGCGAGGAGAGGGACTGACATGGAAGAGAGAGGAGAGGGACTGACATGGAAGAGAGAGGAGAGGGACTGACATGGAAGAGCGAGGAGAGGGACTGACATGGAAGAGGGAGGAAAGGGACTGACATGGAAGAGCGAGGAGAGGGACTGACATGGAAGAGCGAGGAGAGGGAGTGACATGGAAGAGTGAGGAGAGGGACTGACATGGAAGAGGGAGGAAAGGGACTGACATGGAAGAGCGAGGAGAGGGACTGACATGGAAGAGCGAGGAGAGGGAGTGACATGGAAGAGGGAGGAGAGGGAGTGACATGGAAGAGCGAGGAGAGGGAGTGACATGGAAGAGCGAGGAGAGGGACTGACATGGAAGAGCGAGGAGAGGGACTGACATGGAAGAGGGAGGAGAGGGAGTGACATGGAAGAGCGAGGAGAGGGACTGACATGGAAGAGCGAGGAGAGGGACTGACATGGAAGAGCGAGGAGAGGGACTGACATGGAAGAGCGAGGAGAGGGACTGACATGGAAGAGCGAGGAGAGGGACTGACATGGAAGAGCGAGGAGAGGGAGTGACATGGAAGAGGGAGGAGAGGGAGTGACATGGAAGAGCGAGGAGAGGGAGTGACATGGAAGAGCGAGGAGAGGGACTGACATGGAAGAGAGAGGAGAGCGACTGACATGGAAGAGAGAGGAGAGGGACTGACATGGAAGAGAGAGGAGAGGGACTGACATGGAAGAGCGAGGAGAGGGACTGACATGGAAGAGAGAGGAGAGGGACTGACATGGAAGAGAGAGGAGAGGGACTGACATGGAAGAGAGAGGAGAGGGACTGACATGGAAGAGCGAGGAGAGGGACTGACATGGAAGAGGGAGGAGAGGGAGTGACATGGAAGAGCGAGGAGAGGGACTGACATGGAAGAGAGAGGAGAGGGACTGACATGGAAGAGCGAGGAGAGGGACTGACATGGAAGAGCGAGGAGAGGGACTGACATGGAAGAGCGAGGGAGAGGGAGTGACATGGAAGAGAGAGGAGAGGGACTGACATGGAAGAGAGAGGAGAGGGACTGACATGGAAGAGCGAGGAGAGGGAGTGACATGGAAGAGCGAGGAGAGGGAGTGACATGGAAGAGCGAGGAGAGGGACTGACATTGAAGAGAGAGGAGAGGGACTGACATGGAAGAGCGAGGAGAGGGAGTGACATGGAAGAGCGAGGAGAGGGACTGACATGGAAGAGCGAGGAGAGGGACTGACATGGAAGAGAGAGGAGAGGGACTGACATGGAAGAGCGAGGAGAGGGACTGACATGGAAGAGCGAGGAGAGGGACTGACATGGAAGAGCGAGGGAGAGGGAGTGACATGGAAGAGAGAGGAGAGGGACTGACATGGAAGAGAGAGGAGAGGGACTGACATGGAAGAGCGAGGAGAGGGAGTGACATGGAAGAGCGAGGAGAGGGAGTGACATGGAAGAGAGAGGAGAGGGACTGACATGGAAGAGAGAGGAGAGGGACTGACATGGAAGAGCGAGGAGAGGGACTGACATGGAAGAGGGAGGAGAGGGAGTGACATGGAAGAGAGAGGAGAGGGACTGACATGGAAGAGCGAGGAGAGGGACTGACATGGAAGAGCGAGGAGAGGGAGTGACATGGAAGAGCGAGGAGAGGGAGTGACATGGAAGAGCGAGGAGAGGGACTGACATGGAAGAGCGAGGAGAGGGACTGACATGGAAGAGCGAGGAGAGGGAGTGACATGGAAGAGGGAGGAGAGGGACTGACATGGAAGAGCGAGGAGAGGGACTGACATGGAAGAGAGAGGAGAGGGACTGACATGGAAGAGAGAGGAGAGGGACTGACATGGAAGAGCGAGGAGAGGGACTGACATGGAAGAGGGAGGAAAGGGACTGACATGGAAGAGCGAGGAGAGGGACTGACATGGAAGAGCGAGGAGAGGGACTGACATGGAAGAGCGAGGAGAGGGAGTGACATGGAAGAGGGAGGAGAGGGAGTGACATGGAAGAGCGAGGAGAGGGACTGACATGGAAGAGAGAGGAGAGGGACTGACATGGAAGAGAGAGGAGAGGGACTGACATTGAAGAGGGAGGAGAGGGAGTGACATGGAAGAGCGAGGAAAGGGACTGACATGGAAGAGCGAGGAGAGGGACTGACATGGAAGAGCGAGGAGAGGGACTGACATGGAAGAGAGAGGAGAGGGACTGACATGGAAGAGAGAGGAGAGGGACTGACATGGAAGAGCGAGGAGAGGGAGTGACATGGAAGAGCGAGGAAAGGGACTGACATGGAAGAGCGAGGAGAGGGACTGACATGGAAGAGCGAGGAGAGGGACTGACATGGAAGAGAGAGGAGAGGGACTGACATGGAAGAGAGAGGAGAGGGACTGACATGGAAGAGCGAGGAGAGGGAGTGACATGGAAGAGCGAGGAGAGGGACTGACATGGAAGAGCGAGGAGAGGGACTGACATGGAAGAGAGAGGAGAGGGACTGACATGGAAGAGAGAGGAGAGGGACTGACATGGAAGAGAGAGGAGAGGGACTGACATGGAAGAGCGAGGAGAGGGAGTGACATGGAAGAGCGAGGAAAGGGACTGACATGGAAGAGCGAGGAGAGGGACTGACATGGAAGAGCGAGGAGAGGGACTGACATGGAAGAGAGAGGAGAGGGACTGACATGGAAGAGAGAGGAGAGGGACTGACATGGAAGAGCGAGGAGAGGGACTGACATGGAAGAGAGAGGAGAGGGACTGACATGGAAGAGAGAGGAGAGGGACTGACATTGAAGAGAGAGGAGAGGGACTGACATGGAAGAGCGAGGAGAGGGACTGACATGGAAGAGAGAGGAGAGGGACTGACATGGAAGAGCGAGGAGAGGGACTGACATGGAAGAGGGAGGAGAGGGACTGACATGGAAGAGCGAGGAGAGGGACTGACATGGAAGAGCGAGGAGAGGGACTGACATGGAAGAGAGAGGAGAGCGCGAAGCGGCAGTCGTGGTCGGAGGTGCGGCCCTTGAGGCGCTTGCGGTTGAAGCGCACGTACACGTTGGTCAGGCTGTCGATGAACCGCACCAGGTATGGCACCACCTGTCGACAATGTGCCAGGGATCATGGGGAGAGGGGACGGGCGGGAGAAGAATGAGGATGTGGCTCTGTGGGAGGAAGACGTACACGTTGGTCAGGCTGTCGATGAACCGCACCAGGTATGGCACCACCTGCCGCCGTGTGTGGTGTGTCGTGTGTGCCAGGGGTGGTGGGAGGGAGGACGGGTGGGAGGGGAGTGAGGCCGTGACTTTGTGGGATGTGCCCTTTGGTTGTGACCCTCATCGCATAGAGTCATCGACCGCATCCCTGCGACCTACTCTGAGCTAAGTTAAGCAACGAGGAGCTGCGAACCAGGGAAGCTGAGAATGCGTGAGAGCAGGCTACAGGCCAGCGACTGCCCATGGCAGCGTGTCACAGCACCACATACAGATGATGTCCCTTGGAGCGCAGCGCACTCCCAGAGTGGAGCCGCTGTTGGGGGCACTCACGGTGTAGAGGCGGTACGCATCCATCTACTCACGGTGTAGAGGCGGTACGCATCCATCTCAGCGCGCACGAATGCCGCCAGGCTCTGGCTGGCTGAGTGGATCCACACGTCCAGCACGTTGCTGCTCTCCGCCAGCTGGCGCGCCGTCATTGGCTGGAAGGGCGGCAGCCCCTCGGCGGTGAGGCGCAGCGTGTTCTGCACGAGGAAGCGGTACGCGTTGTACCATGGGAGGAACACGTCGCGCACCTGATGGGGAGGGGGGCGAAAGGGGGGGAGAAGGGAAGCGATGCAGGCAGACCATTAGTGGTGGGCGATTTAGTCGGGAAGGAGAGGGAAGGGCACTGGAAACAGGTAGACCAACCGGAAAGAGGGCAAAAAATTACTTAGAGATTCCAGGGCATGCACATGCCCCTCCTCTGTGAGAAGGCCGAGGAGCATGGCGACATGGAATTGGGGACATAAGTGTTACCACCATTCACCACCCGTTACCACTTCACACCACTCCCCACCACTCTTCACCACTCGTCACCACGTCCCACCCCTCCTCACCACGGCGAAGACGCCTTCCTTCTTGAAGCGCAGGGGCTCGGCGCGCACGACGGGCGAGTTGATGAGGTAGAGGCGCAGCGCGTCCGCTCCGTACGACCCCACCACGTCCATGGGCGGCGGGTAGTTGCGCAGGCGCTTGCTCATCTTCTTGCCGTCCTCCGCCAGCACGAGCCCGTTGCAGATGAGGTTGCGGAAGGCTGGCTTGTTGAAGAGCGCGGTGGACAGCACCATCAGCGTGTAGAACCTGCGAGTGAGGGGGGAGGACGGGAAAGGTGGGGACGAGGAGCGCCGGGGAGAGGTGAGGGCACAAAGTTGAGAGAAGATGAGACTGCGGTCAGTGGAGAGAAGATGAGACTGCGGTCAGTGGAGAGAAGATGAGACTGCCGTCAGTGGGCCTGTTGAACAGTGCTGTTGCGCGGCCATGCGGTACGGGGGCCATGCTGTACAGGGGCCATGCTGTGCGGGGGCCATGCGGGCAAAACAGGCAAGAGGGCACAAAAAGGTGAGAAAGTGAAAGCGAGGAAAGGCATGAATGGAGAGACGGATCGCCTGGCCGTCGACCGGCCGACAAGGCAAGGTGCGGCTGGCCTCGTTGCTCATGAGCACAGCTGTGTGTCACGTTCGCTCATGAGCACAGCTGTGTGTCACGTTGGCTTCGCCACCCACAGCATCAGCTGCTGTGAGCTAAGTCCCCTCCCTCAAGTGGACCCCCTCTCAAGTGGACCCCTCTCAAGTGGATCCCCCACCCTCGTAATCGCCACGCCGCCCTGCACCATCCCGCATGCCATGCCATGCCTCCTCACTATCCCGCATGCCATGCCATGCCTCCTCACTATCCCGCATGCCATGCCATGCCTCCTCACTATCCCGCATGCCATGCCATGCCTCCTCACTATCCCGCATGCCATGCCATGCCTCCTCACTATCCCGCATGCCATGCCACGCCTCCTCACTATCCCGCATGCCACCCACGCCTCCTCACTATCCCGCAAGCCACGCCATGCCTCCTCACTATCCCGCATGCCATGCCATGCCTCCTCACTCTCCCGCATGCCATGCCATGCCTCCTCACTATCCCGCATGCCATGCCATGCCTCCTCACTATCCCGCATGCCATGCCATGCCTCCTCACTATCCCGCATGCCATGCCATGCCTCCTCACTATCCCGCATGCCATGCCATGCCTCCTCACTATCCCGCATGCCATGCCATGCCTCCTCACTATCCCGCATGCCATGCCATGCATCCTCACTATCCCGCATGCCACGCCATGCATCCTCACTATCCCGCATGCCACGCCATGCCTCCTCACTATCCCGCATGCCACGCCATGCCTCCTCACTATCCCGCATGCCACGCCATGCCTCCTCAGTATCCCGCATGCCATGCCATGCCTCCTCACTATCCCGCATGCCATGCCATGCCTCCTCACTATCCCGCATGCCATGCCATGCCTCCTCACTATCCCGCATGCCACGCCACGCCTCCTCACTATCCCGCATGCCACGCCCTCACTATCCCGCATGCCACGCCATGCCTCCTCACTATCCCGCATGCCATGCCATGCCTCCTCACTATCCCGCTTGCCATGCCATGCCTCCTCACTATCCCGCATGCCATGCCATGCCTCCTCACTATCCCGCATGCCACGCCACGCCTCCTCACTATCCCGCATGCCACGCCACGCCTCCTCACTATCCCGCATGCCACGCCATGCCTCCTCACTATCCCGCATGCCATGCCATGCCTCCTCACTATCCCGCATGCCACGCCATGCCTCCTCACTATCCCGCATGCCACGCCATGCCTCCTCACTATCCCGCATGCCATGCCATGCCTCCTCACTATCCCGCATGCCATGCCATGCCTCCTCACTATCCCGCATGCCATGCCATGCCTCCTCACTATCCCGCATGCCACGCCACGCCTCCTCACTATCCCGCATGCCACGCCACGCCTCCTCACTATCCCGCATGCCGCGCCATGCCTCCTCACTATCCCGCATGCCATGCCATGCCTCCTCACTATCCCGCATGCCACGCCATGCCTCCTCACTATCCCGCATGCCACGCCATGCCTCCTCACTATCCCGCATGCCATGCCATGCCTCCTCACTATCCCGCATGCCATGCCATGCCTCCTCACTATCCCGCATGCCATGCCATGCCTCCTCACTATCCCGCATGCCATGCCATGCCTCCTCACTATCCCGCATGCCATGCCACGCCTCCTCACTATCCCGCATGCCACCCACGCCTCCTCACTATCCCGCAAGCCACGCCATGCCTCCTCACTATCCCGCATGCCATGCCATGCCTCCTCACTCTCCCGCATGCCATGCCATGCCTCCTCACTATCCCGCATGCCATGCCATGCCTCCTCACTATCCCGCATGCCATGCCATGCCTCCTCACTATCCCGCATGCCATGCCATGCCTCCTCACTATCCCGCATGCCATGCCATGCCTCCTCACTATCCCGCATGCCATGCCATGCCTCCTCACTATCCCGCATGCCATGCCATGCATCCTCACTATCCCGCATGCCACGCCATGCCTCCTCACTATCCCGCATGCCACGCCATGCCTCCTCACTATCCCGCATGCCACGCCATGCCTCCTCAGTATCCCGCATGCCATGCCATGCCTCCTCACTATCCCGCATGCCATGCCATGCCTCCTCACTATCCCGCATGCCATGCCATGCCTCCTCACTATCCCGCATGCCACGCCACGCCTCCTCACTATCCCGCATGCCACGCCCTCACTATCCCGCATGCCACGCCATGCCTCCTCACTATCCCGCATGCCATGCCATGCCTCCTCACTATCCCGCTTGCCATGCCATGCCTCCTCACTATCCCGCATGCCATGCCATGCCTCCTCACTATCCCGCATGCCACGCCACGCCTCCTCACTATCCCGCATGCCACGCCACGCCTCCTCACTATCCCGCATGCCACGCCATGCCTCCTCACTATCCCGCATGCCATGCCATGCCTCCTCACTATCCCGCATGCCACGCCATGCCTCCTCACTATCCCGCATGCCACGCCATGCCTCCTCACTATCCCGCATGCCATGCCATGCCTCCTCATTATCCCGCATGCCATGCCATGCCTCCTCACTATCCCGCATGCCATGCCATGCCTCCTCACTATCCCGCATGCCACGCCACGCCTCCTCACTATCCCGCATGCCACGCCACGCCTCCTCACTATCCCGCATGCCACGCCATGCCTCCTCACTATCCCGCATGCCATGCCATGCCTCCTCACTATCCCGCATGCCACGCCATGCCTCCTCACTATCCCGCATGCCACGCCATGCCTCCTCACTATCCCGCATGCCATGCCACGCCTCCTCACTATCCCGCATGCCACGCCATGCCTCCTCACTATCCCGCATGCCACGCCATGCCTCCTCACTATCCCGCATGCCATGCCATGCCTCCTCACTATCCCGCATGCCATGCCATGCCTCCTCACTATCCCGCATGCCATGCCATGCCTCCTCACTATCCCGCATGCCATGCCATGCCTCCTCACTATCCCGCATGCCACGCCACGCCTCCTCACTATCCCGCATGCCATGCCACGCCTCCTCACTATCCCGCATGCCACGCCATGCCTCCTCACTATCCCGCATGCCATGCCATGCCTCCTCACTATCCCGCATGCCACGCCATGCCTCCTCACTATCCCGCATGCCACGCCACGCCTCCTCACTATCCCGCATGCCACGCCATGCCTCCTCACTATCCCGCATGCCACGCCACGCCTCCTCACTATCCCGCATGCCACGCCATGCCTCCTCACTATCCCGCATGCCATGCCATGCCTCCTCACTATCCCGCATGCCACGCCATGCCTCCTCACTATCCCGCATGCCACGCCACGCCTCCTCACTATCCCGCATGCCACGCCATGCCTCCTCACTATCCCGCATGCCAAGCCATGCCTCCTCACTATCCCGCATGCCATGCCATGCCTCCTCACTATCCCGCATGCCACGCCATGCCTCCTCACTATCCCGCATGCCATGCCATGCCTCCTCACTATCCCGCATGCCACGCCATGCCTCCTCACTATCCCGCATGCCACGCCATGCCTCCTCACTATCCCGCATGCCATGCCATGCCTCCTCACTATCCCGCATGCCATGCCATGCCTCCTCACTATCCCGCATGCCATGCCATGCATCCTCACTATCCCGCATGCCACGCCATGCCTCCTCACTATCCCGCATGCCACGCCATGCCTCCTCACTATCCCGCATGCCACGCCATGCCTCCTCAGTATCCCGCATGCCATGCCATGCCTCCTCACTATCCCGCATGCCATGCCATGCCTCCTCACTATCCCGCATGCCATGCCATGCCTCCTCACTATCCCGCATGCCACGCCACGCCTCCTCACTATCCCGCATGCCACGCCCTCACTATCCCGCATGCCACGCCATGCCTCCTCACTATCCCGCATGCCATGCCATGCCTCCTCACTATCCCGCTTGCCATGCCATGCCTCCTCACTATCCCGCATGCCACGCCATGCCTCCTCACTATCCCGCATGCCATGCCATGCCTCCTCACTATCCCGCATGCCACGCCATGCCTCCTCACTATCCCGCATGCCACGCCACGCCTCCTCACTATCCCGCATGCCACGCCATGCCTCCTCACAATCCCGCATGCCATGCCATGCCTCCTCACTATCCCGCATGCCACGCCATGCCTCCTCACTATCCCGCATGCCATGCCATGCCTCCTCACTATCCCGCATGCCATGCCATGCCTCCTCACTATCCCGCATGCCATGCCATGCATCCTCACTATCCCGCATGCCACGCCACGCCTCCTCACTATCCCGCATGCCACGCCATGCCTCCTCACTATCCCGCATGCCATGCCATGCCTCCTCACTATCCCGCATGCCACGCCATGCCTCCTCACTATCCCGCATGCCATGCCATGCCTCCTCACTATCCCGCATGCCACGCCATGCCTCCTCACTATCCCGCATGCCATGCCATGCCTCCTCACTATCCCGCATGCCACGCCACGCCTCCTCACTATCCCGCATGCCACGCCATGCCTCCTCACTATCCCGCATGCCATGCCATGCCTCCTCACTATCCCGCATGCCACGCCATGCCTCCTCACTATCCCGCATGCCATGCCATGCCTCCTCACTATCCCGCATGCCACGCCATGCCTCCTCACTATCCCGCATGCCACGCCACGCCTCCTCACTATCCCGCATGCCACGCCATGCCTCCTCACAATCCCGCATGCCATGCCATGCCTCCTCACTATCCCGCATGCCACGCCATGCCTCCTCACTATCCCGCATGCCATGCCATGCCTCCTCACTATCCCGCATGCCACGCCATGCCTCCTCACTATCCCGCATGCCATGCCATGCCTCCTCACTATCCCGCATGCCACGCCATGCCTCCTCACTATCCCGCATGCCATGCCATGCCTCCTCACTATCCCGCATGCCACGCCATGCCTCCTCACTATCCCGCATGCCATGCCATGCCTCCTCACTATCCCGCATGCCATACCATGCCTCCTGACTATCCCGCATGCCATGCCACGCCTCCTCACTATCCCGCATGCCACGCCATGCCTCCTCACTATCCCGCATGCCATGCCATGCCTCCTCACTATCCCGCATGCCACGCCATGCCTCCTCACTATCCCGCATGCCATGCCATGCCTCCTCACTATCCCGCATGCCACGCCATGCCTCCTCACTATCCCGCATGCCACGCCATGCCTCCTCACTATCCCGCATGCCATGCCATGCCTCCTCACTATCCCGCATGCCATGCCATGCCTCCTCACTATCCCGCATGCCATGCCATGCATCCTCACTATCCCGCATGCCACGCCATGCCTCCTCACTATCCCGCATGCCACGCCATGCCTCCTCACTATCCCGCATGCCACGCCATGCCTCCTCAGTATCCCGCATGCCATGCCATGCCTCCTCACTATCCCGCATGCCATGCCATGCCTCCTCACTATCCCGCATGCCATGCCATGCCTCCTCACTATCCCGCATGCCACGCCACGCCTCCTCACTATCCCGCATGCCACGCCCTCACTATCCCGCATGCCACGCCATGCCTCCTCACTATCCCGCATGCCATGCCATGCCTCCTCACTATCCCGCTTGCCATGCCATGCCTCCTCACTATCCCGCATGCCACGCCATGCCTCCTCACTATCCCGCATGCCATGCCATGCCTCCTCACTATCCCGCATGCCACGCCATGCCTCCTCACTATCCCGCATGCCACGCCACGCCTCCTCACTATCCCGCATGCCACGCCATGCCTCCTCACAATCCCGCATGCCATGCCATGCCTCCTCACTATCCCGCATGCCACGCCATGCCTCCTCACTATCCCGCATGCCATGCCATGCCTCCTCACTATCCCGCATGCCATGCCATGCCTCCTCACTATCCCGCATGCCATGCCATGCATCCTCACTATCCCGCATGCCACGCCACGCCTCCTCACTATCCCGCATGCCACGCCATGCCTCCTCACTATCCCGCATGCCATGCCATGCCTCCTCACTATCCCGCATGCCACGCCATGCCTCCTCACTATCCCGCATGCCATGCCATGCCTCCTCACTATCCCGCATGCCACGCCATGCCTCCTCACTATCCCGCATGCCATGCCATGCCTCCTCACTATCCCGCATGCCACGCCACGCCTCCTCACTATCCCGCATGCCACGCCATGCCTCCTCACTATCCCGCATGCCATGCCATGCCTCCTCACTATCCCGCATGCCACGCCATGCCTCCTCACTATCCCGCATGCCATGCCATGCCTCCTCACTATCCCGCATGCCACGCCATGCCTCCTCACTATCCCGCATGCCACGCCACGCCTCCTCACTATCCCGCATGCCACGCCATGCCTCCTCACAATCCCGCATGCCATGCCATGCCTCCTCACTATCCCGCATGCCACGCCATGCCTCCTCACTATCCCGCATGCCATGCCATGCCTCCTCACTATCCCGCATGCCACGCCATGCCTCCTCACTATCCCGCATGCCATGCCATGCCTCCTCACTATCCCGCATGCCACGCCATGCCTCCTCACTATCCCGCATGCCATGCCATGCCTCCTCACTATCCCGCATGCCACGCCATGCCTCCTCACTATCCCGCATGCCATGCCATGCCTCCTCACTATCCCGCATGCCATACCATGCCTCCTGACTATCCCGCATGCCATGCCACGCCTCCTCACTATCCCGCATGCCACGCCATGCCTCCTCACTATCCCGCATGCCATGCCATGCCTCCTCACTCTCCCGCATGCCACGCCATGCCTCCTCACTATCCCGCATGCCACGCCACGCCTCCTCACTATCCCGCATGCCACGCCATGCCTCCTCACTATCCCGCATGCCACGCCATGCCTCCTCACTATCCCGCATGCCATGCCATGCCTCCTCACTATCCCGCATGCCACGCCATGCCTCCTCACTATCCCGCATGCCATGCCATGCCTCCTCACTATCCCGCATGCCATGCCATGCCTCCTCACTATCCCGCATGCCATGCCATGCCTCCTCACTATCCCGCATGCCATGCCATGCGTCCTCACTATCCCGCATGCCACGCCATGCCTCCTCACTATCCCGCATGCCATGCCATGCCTCCTCACTATCCCGCATGCCACGCCATGCCTCCTCACTATCCCGCATGCCACGCCACGCCTCCTCACTATCCCGCATGCCACGCCATGCCTCCTCACTATCCCGCATGCCATGCCATGCCTCCTCACTATCCCGCATGCCACGCCATGCCTCCTCACTATCCCGCATGCCATGCCATGCCTCCTCACTATCCCGCATGCCACGCCATGCCTCCTCACTATCCCGCATGCCATGCCATGCCTCCTCACTATCCCGCATGCCACGCCATGCCTCCTCACTATCCCGCATGCCATGCCACGCCTCCTCACTATCCCGCATGCCACGCCATGCCTCCTCACTATCCCGCATGCCACGCCACGCCTCCTCACTATCCCGCATGCCACGCCATGCCTCCTCACTATCCCGCATGCCACGCCATGCCTCCTCACTATCCCGCATGCCATGCCATGCCTCCTCACCATCCCACACGCCACGCCACGCCTCACCAGCCGCGGGTCTGGTCGAGCCCCTCGGCGATGAAGTGGCCGGGGAAGTTCTTTTCAAAGAGGTCCTTGTTCTCAAAGGGGTAGTGGATGTACGCGTACGGCATGCTGCCGCTCTCAAACCAGCAGTCAAACACCTGCCAGAGGCAGGCAGGGGGAGGGGAGCGCGGGAGGATGTGGAACAAGAGAGGCGGAGGGGGTTCGGTTCGGTGTGGAGAAAATGCAAGGTCCAGGCGCAAGAGGCGTTGCTGTCACGCACACAACCCCTCCTCCTCACTTCCCCCCAGCTCACGTTGTCTGAACAGCACATGAGTGAACCCCGAAAGCAACGGACCAGGCTCACCCACAACCCCACGCCTCACCCACAACCCCACGCCTCACCCACAACCCCACGCCTCACCCACAACCCCACGCCTCACCCACAACCCCACGCCTCACCCACAACCCCACGCCTCACCCACAGCCCCGCTCCCCCTTCCTCCCCCTTCCCTCCCGGCAGCAGCACGCACATCCTCAATGCGTTTGAGCCTTGGGTGGTCCGCCCCCTTGCTGCTGGGAATGGTGATGTGGTCGATCTTGTGCCGGTGCAGGTCCGTCACTTGCTCACCGCCCAGCGCCTCCAGCTCTGCAATGCTGCCCACCACCCGGATCTCGCTGAAGTCCTCGCTGGCCCAGATGGGCAGCGGCGTGCCCCAGAAGCGCGAGCGGCTGACGGCCCAGTCGCGCGCGTTCTCGAGCCAGTTGTGGAAGCGCTTCTCCTTCACGTAGTCGGGCACCCACTGCGTGCCCGCGTTGCTCTCCAGTAGTGCCGGCTTTATCGCCTCCACCGCTATGAACCTGAAGAGGGGGTGGGTGTTGGGGGAGATGGGGTGCGGGCGAAGTGGGAGGGGGAAGAGGGTAAGGGGAGAGGGATGGGGGAGAGGGGGGAGTGGGAGGGGGGAGTGGGAGGGGGGAGAGGGAGGGGGGCAGATGGAGCGCACACAAGGGAAGGGGGAGGGGAGGGTGGCTTCACGTACTCCGGCACCCACTGTGTGCCCACGTTGCTCTCCAGCAGCGCTGGCTTTCTGCTCAACCGCTATGTGGAGGGGAGAGAGCAGGGGTGGCAAGCGGGGGAGCAGGGAGAGGGGACAGCAGGAGATGGAGCGCACACAAGGGAAACGAGGGAGGAAATAGGGAAAAGGGGAAAGATGGGAGAAAGAACACGGGGTGGAAAGGAGAGGTGGGGACAGTTGGGAGATGAGAGGAGAGAGGGAAGGGGTGAGAAGGGAGAGGGAATATGGGAGAGGGGAATGGGTGGTGGGTTGAGAGCGGACTGGGTATAATGGAGAGGGGGTAGAGGGGAGCGAGGAGGGAAGATGGGATACGAGAGGAGAGATGCAATGGCAAGAGGCGGATCACATGGGAGAGGCAGCAGGGGGAAGGAAAGAGGGGAGTTGGGAATATACGCGGATGGGCTTGCATGGGCTGTGAGAGGGAGAGGAAATGATAAGATTGGGTGGGAAATGATAAGATTGGGAAATGACCGCCGCGGGACAAACGAGACGAAAGGAGGGAAGATACAAGGAAAGGAGAAAAGGGGAAAGGTGAATGGGAAGGGGAAGGAGAGGGTGGCTGGCCTCGCGTACCAGTTGGGGAGAGTGAAGGGAGGGAGAGAGCAGGAGGGGAGCGCGTAGCAGGCAGGCACATTGAGGGGAAAAGGGGGTGGCGCGTGTCGCGGGTGGGCAGAGTGAGGGAGGGAGGGGGAGCGGCGGGGCGTACCAGCTGGGCACGGCGCGGTAGATGAGGGGCGTGTCGGAGCGCCAGCAGAAGGGGTAGGAGTGCATTATGCTCCCCACACTCACCACCCTCCCCGCCTCCTGCTCGCCGCGTGCAAGGGGTGTGTGGGGTGGAGGGGAAGGGAGATGAGCGGAGCGGAGCGGGTGTTTATGAGCACAAGTACAGCAAGCACAGTTACATGGGGTTGAGGAGGCGAGCGAGGGAGAAAGAGTAGAGGAAGGAGCCGCAAGAGCGCCTGACCTTGAGCATGGCAAGAGCGCCTGACCTTGAGCATGGCAAGAATGGGCTTGTCAGCATCCTTGACGTATTGCCCCTTGAAGTCCGCCACCTTGTCCGTGAACCGCCCATCGTCATCCACTGGATTCGGTATCGCCTCGCCCTGCCGTGGTGTGGTGTGTTGAGGTGCACACATGTATGATGCGTACAGGCGTGCACCCATGCGCACATGCACCCCATGCGCCCACGCACACATGCACCCATGCACCCGCGCACACATGCACCCATACGGGCACAGACAAATAAATGGACGCGCAATGGCAGAGTGGTGGCGCTGAGGTCGCTGCACGGGGTGGAACAGACCAGCAGTCATCCGCTTTGCACCACCTGTTCTACCACCAAACCACACCACTCCACACGGGCACGGCGCGGCACAGCAGAGCAGAGCAGAGCAGAGCACCTTGCCGATAATCCCAGAGGCGAGGCAGACACGGTAGTCGTCCTCCCCAAAGGCAGGCGCGCAGTGCACCACACCCGTGCCGCTGTCGTCCGTCACAAAGCCATCCGCCACCACGCGGAACGCAGAGGGCATGGCCTCCTTGTAGTACGGAAACATGGGCTCGTAGCTGCAAGCATGGGAGGGGGTGAGGGGAAGGGGGGAAAGAAAGAGGGGAAGGGATGGGAAAAAGGGGAAAGCTCGGGAGAAAATGAGGGTGGGTGGGCACCCAAATCGATGCACACATGTGGACAGCAAAGTGTGGGTGGGCGTGCATGCAGAGCAGGGCAGGGCAGGAGAGAGGCGGCACTCACGTGAGCCCCACGAGGTCGGCGCCAGTGACGGTGGCGATGACCTCATACAGCGACTCATCCAACCCCTCCACTGCCCCGCCCCCCCCTGCTGCCGCCCCCCCGCTCTGCTCCTTGCTGCCTCCGCCCTTCTTCCCCCCTCCCTTGCCGCCCTTCCCCTTGTCTCCGCCACCTGCCTTGCCTCCCTTCTCCTCCCTTGCTGCCTTCTCCTCCACCTTTGCCTCCACCTTTGCCTCCCCCTTGGCCTTCTTGCGGCCGGGCAGGGCGCAGAGGCGGGACTGGGCGAGCATGAGCACGGCACCTGTGTCACGGTTGCGCACCTGAGAAGAGGGGAGTGGGGGGCGCAGCGCACACCGCCCGCCACATGGGGTTGCTTGATTGGTGCACCATGGTATTGTTTACTTTGAAGCGGCATACATACACCATGGCATAACATAGTATGGTATAAAATGCTATTGTGGGTTATGGGATTATGCAGCGCGGTATCATAGAGTATGGAATAGCAAGGTGGGATATGGTAGATTATTGTACAGACCGAATGGTGACACATAGAGTGGTATAGCAAGATGTGGCAGTGCCAGTATGCACAGATAGCAACCGTACGGTATGGTGTGATACGGTAAGGTATGGCGAGGTTCACGAGGCGGTGCATGTGTGATGGGGCAGAGGCAGGGGTGGCACCTTGCAGTAGGAGAAGGAGGGGTTGACGCAGAGCGCGAGGTTGGAGGGGAGCGTCCAGGGCGTGGTGGTCCACGCCACCAGCGCTGCCCCGTCCAAGTCCCCGTGCAGCGGGAACGTCACCACCACCGCTGGGTCCGACACGTCCTGTGCTCCCCGGGTGGTGAGCGGGAGAGAGAGCGGGTGAGTGGGATATGAGAGAGGGGATGCAGTATGATGAGGGAGGAAACATGAGAGTAGTAGGGACTGAACACACAGCAGCGAGGTGAGACATGCGGCAGCAGTGTGCAAGAGCATGTGTGCGCCGTGGTGGGAGAGCGTGAGAGGCGTGCCACGGTGCCATCCCTCCCTCCATCTCCACTTGCACTCAACGCCCCACACGGCCTCTCAGTGCTGCTGCCAGCTACAGAGTGAATCACCGCCCAAACCCTCCCCTCTGCCAATGGCCTTTAACACGCTGAATGCATGTTGAGCGAGCATCAATGGCGCCCACCCACCCACCCACCTTGTAGTTGAGGCCGGCTTCAAAGTTGGAGAGCGGCGTGTTGCAGGCGGTGGAGAAGGGCATGACCTTAAAGCCCCGGTACACCAGCCCCTTGGCGTACAGCTGCGAGAACACCCACCAGCACGACTCCATGTACCCCGCATCCAACGTCTTGTAGTCGTTGTCAAAGTCGATCCAACGGCCCACGCGCGTGATGATGTCGCGCCACTCGGACGAGTAGCGCATGACGATGCTGCGACACTCCTCGTTGTACACATCGATTCCCATCCTCATCACCTGCCTTGCCACACAGCATACCACAGCACACACCAACCAGGACACGTGGAACAGGTGTTCACACCAACCATTCCCCCAGCATCCCCCCAGCATCCCCCCACACACCCCCACCACACCCCCACCACACACCAACCGCAACGAACGGAATGGGTGAGCAAAGCAAAGCAGGGGCGGGCCATATGTTAGAACAGCAGGGGCGGGCCATATGTTAGAACAGCAGGGGCGGGCCATATGTTAGAACAGTAATCTCTCTGTCTGTCTTGACTGAAATCCGAAGGTATTGCTCACGGCCAGCTCTAAACATATCCAGGCTACTTTGACACAGATCCCGGCATTTCACAAGATGTCATGGGGGAATCAAGCTGTCAAACACCCGTCTCGTCTCGCTGCCCATTCTCCTAGGCCCTTCCTTCCCCTGTCATCGCAATGTCTTGTCACTTGCTGGAACTCTCTGGTTGCTCTCAAGGCTGCTTCCCATTCCTCGCCCCACCCCTCGCCCCGGCGCTTGCAGCGCCCTGATCGGCACTGGGGCTGCCTCGTCGCTTGCCCCACACAGCAAACAGCTTCTGAGAGGACGAGGGCAGCATTCGCCGTGCTCTGGTCAGGCCATGCGAGTGCTCTGGTCAGGCCATGCGAGTGCCCACCCACAGAACGCGGCAAAACGAGGGCGCAGCGCAGCGCGATGGGAAGACTTGAAGCCTGCTGGCCCCCTCTAGTGCTCCTCCTCCCTCCCACATTCCGCCGTCACCTCGCCACACTCTCTCACCTCTCACTCGCTAGCCTTCCCTTCCCTTCTCTTCCCTTCTCTTCCCTTCTCTTCCCTTCTCTTCCCTTCCCTTCCCTTCCCTTCCCTTCTCTTCCCTTCCCTTCCCTTCCCTTCCCTTCTCTTCCCTTCCCTTCCCTTCTCTTCCCTTCCCTTCCCTTCCCTTCCCTTCCCTTCCCTTCCCTTCCCTTCTCTTCCCTTCCCTTCCCTTCCCTTCTCTTCCCTTCTCTTCCCTTCCCTTCCCTTCCCTTCCCTTCCCTTCCCTTCCCTTCCCTTCCCTTCCCTTCCCTTCCCTTCCCTTCCCTTCCCTTCCCTTCCCTTCCCTTCCCTTCCCTCCCCCCCCCCCCCCCTTCAACGCACATCATCGCGGATCTTGACGAGGAGCGGCTAAGGGATCGCATACTCCACGGCCAGGGCCGCCCTCGCCGCCCCGCCCTCTCTCTCACTCCCCTCACTCACTCGCTCGCCTTCCCTTCCCTCCCCCCCCCCCCCACCCCCACCGCACGTACATCATCGCGGCTCTTGACGTTGAGCTTCTGGTCGATCTCGTACTCCACGGGCAGCCCTTTGAGATGTCTCAACAGCCATCCCGCTCCCCGCCCCCTCCCCACTCCCCCTCCCCCGGCCCCTCCCAGACAACCCCCCCCCCACCGCACGTACATCGTCGCGGCTCTTAACGTTGAGCTTCTGGTCGATCTCGTATTCGACGGGCAGCCCGTGGCAGTCCCACCCGAACCGCCGCGTGACGTGGTGGCCCGTCGCCGTCTGGTAGCGCGTCACCACGTCCTTGATCGTGCCGGCCAGAATGTGCCCGTAGTGCGGCAGGCCTTGGGGGGGGTGGGGAGGGGGGAGAGAGTGGAGGCGTTTGGGGCGAGGCGAAGGGGGACGCGGTGGGTGAGCGGTTGATTGCGGAGTGGCGATGAGGCCGCGGAGGGAGGCGCGACTGCGCGCAAGTGGGGGTTGACGAATACGGTCGCGAATGCAGTGAATGTCGCGCTTCGCACGTGGCGGAGGGCGGCACCTGTGGCGAAGTGGTTACCTGTGGCGAAGGGCACCTGTGGCGAAGAGGTTACCTGTGGCAAAGGGCGGCACCTGTGGCGAAGGGCGGGACCTGTGGCGAAGGGCGGGACCTGTGGCGAAGGGTTACCAGTGGCGAAGGGCGGGCCATCGTAGAAGACGTATTCCGGCAGCCCCTCGGTGCGGCGCAGCTGCTCGTGAAAGGCGTCGAGGCGCTCCCACAGCTGCAGCACCTTCTCCTCCTCGCGCGGGAAGCTAAAGTCCTTCCCCTCCACCACCGCCTCCATCGCCACCCCTCGCGCCTTGCCCCCTCGTGCCTTGCCCCCTCGCGCAATTCCTCGTCTGCGCCCCTTTGTCCCTCGCGTAGATGGTCTCCGCAATCGGCGCGGAACCTCGCGTGCCCTGCGCGCACTGCGAGCGGGGCGAGCGAAGATATCGGAGAGAGCGAGGCGCGCCAATGGTGACTTCGCGATCCACGCGAGGGTGAACGTGTCGGGCTCTTCGCGTGTCGGGCTCAAAATGCAGCGTGGAGGAGTTAAAACCAGAACCTCCGGACAGAGGAGTGACTTCAGGTCAGATCCTGGTTCAGGCTGCTTTTGTCTTTACCCAGAAAAGTTGTTTCACAACAAGCAACCTGTTAAAGTTCTACTAACAGAGTGGGCAGAATAATGCTTTTAAAAAAATGTCATTACGGACTCCGTAATTTTTGGGTTGCGAAGCAACCTATTACGATCGTTATGTACAATTTTTTTTCAATCCTCCATACTTCAAAAAATAAAGGATGGAAAAAATCTAGTGAACGGTACTAGCTAAGTGACTGACTGTTATGTATTTGCCGCTGTTGGGAAAATAAACGCATGACTTAGTGCGTTTCTGTAGTATCGAACCTCACCCGATACTGAAGCACAACAAAAGGAGTACGAAGTCGAAAAGGCGCATACCACATCAAACCGCAACTAGAGGTTGCGAGCTGTAACCGCCTTGGAGGTTACGTAACAGCAAGCGACGCTTCAGTGAACAGTAACCACCTCGATAGTCGAAGCGCTACGCGTCTCGATAAACATAACCGTTCCTTGTAATCTATCTTTTCTATATATTCCTGTATGCCCTTTACTTTAATCAATTACTTGTTCTCACATACCAGCACAAGTACATTCACTCAAGACTTCCGCTGTGCTACTCTAGCACTTACTAGCCTATTCTCTGCAAAGATCCTAAGGCTGAAATTCTCAGCCCAACATGGTATGAGAGCAGTCAGAGAACAAAGGCTCTCGTCATTAAGCCTCTTTCAGGCTACCAATCTGCAAACGACCAAGAAGTTCAACCTTCACTCAAGAAAGGCAAGACATGGCAAGTGGCAAAGAAAGAAGATCATCTACGGGATCTACTCTACCCCCGGTCTCCGAGTTGCAGACCGAAGGAGGAACAACGCCCGGATTAACACCGGAAGCGACGGAACGCTCCACTCAAGCACCAGTGGCGCCGCCAATCTTCAACCCAAGCCCAATGGAGGAGTTCTTCAACTTCATGTCGCAGCAGCAGTCCTCACAACCTGCAAACAGCAACAGCGTAAACAACGGAACGGCACCAATGAGTATTGACAACTCATCGTTCGGACGACACAATCAACAAACACCAAATTCGGTCTCACCTGGTTCCTTCACGTTCATGCCGCCCCGCCATCCAGCGACTCCTCTTCCCGCCATCAAACGAGACACCGAAGAAGTCCTGCAAGTACAAGCACAGTTCAACAACATCCTACGATTGCACACATCCACACCATTCAACGGGAAGGACTTCTACTCTTGGAGCTTCGAATTTGAACTCCTGATGGAAGGCGCGAATCTTCTTGGCTTCTTCAACGGTACCTGGCCATATCCACACAACGGTGAAGACAAGGACAAAGAAAATTATACGTATCACTTCCCTCATGGCTTACACCGTTCTTCTCCGAAACCTGTCGCCGAATGAACAACAAAGCATCCGCGCCTACCGGAACTACGCAAACTCCGCGGAACTCGCTTATCAACATCTGCGAAGTATTCATCAAGCATCCGACAGCGTTACGCAAAGCCGACTCATGGCACAACTAACAACAGTTCAAATGCAACCTGGAGAAAAGGCCATGCCTTACATCAGTCGCTGTCAAGGACTACGCGACAGACTCATTCGCTGCGGAGGAAACTTATCTGAAGAAGCTTTCGTAACCGTCGTTCTTGCCGGCCTTGGACCTCAGTGGCGCACCACCCGCTCACTTCTTCGCGCTCACGGTCGACTCTCCGAAATGCATCTCTGCGCCGAACTTCACGCCGAGCAGCAGGAAATGGACCTGTTCGAAGAACGCAACAACAAAAGGCATCATCAACCAATCGTTCTTTACACCAATCGACGACAGCCACGCTACCAAAATCGAGGACACGTACCTCCCTATTGTCATCTTTGTCGGACTTCAGGACACACACGCTTCAACTGCCCTCAGCAACAACGACAACCAGCACCATTCTCTCGTCCTCTGCGACCAGTGCCTCCCCACATCGCGTCAACTCAACAGCGACCCGCTACCGCCTCAACGACTACTTCAACACGACCGTCAACCTCCACTTCGGGACCTGCACTGACACCAAGAATCGTCGCCATGGCACGAACAACAGAGTCAAACATCGACTCGTGCATTACCGGCTCTCCACCAACTTACAGTCCTGATGAGCAACCATCACCACCACCGTCGTCCCTTAACGTGAATCCAACGTACGCCGCCATCGCGAACCGTGCACCCACCGGATCAGACACATGGTTCCTCGACAGTTGTTGCGGTCATCACATGTGCTCTTCATCACGATTTCTTCAGCGCGAACGACGTCTTCCGCGAGACGTCATCATCACCATCGCCAACAACGAAAACCTGCGCACCAACAAACAAGGAGTCGTGGAGCTTCAGTCAAACGAAACAAACGTTATTCTTCAATTAAACAAAGTACTCGTCGTCGACAACCTCGGCTTTAACTTACTGAGCGTCAGCCAACTCATGTCGAAAGGCGTTCACCTGGAGTGCGACTCCGACGCCCTGGAAATCCGTCTTTACCACGGAAAAGGGGGGGTCTTCATCGGCCGTGCAATCCAACAAGATGACGTGTTCGTCCTCGACTTCGTCCCCGACAAAGGCACCGCAGACAGCGACGGCATAGTCGCTCTCGCACCTTGGACGCATCCGCCAGACCTCGACC